GGGGTTGGGAGGCGATGGAGGAGGAGAAGGAGGAGGAGGAGGAGGAGGAGGAGGAGAAGGAGGAGGAGGAGGAGGAGAAGGAGCAGGGGCAGGAGGAGGAGGAGGAGGAGGAGGAGGAGGAGGAGGAGGAGGAGGAGGAGGAGAGAGGAGGAGGGAGGAGGAGGAGGAAGGGAAGGAGGGCGTGTGTGTCTGCGCTTAAGGCAAAAGTTCTTTGTTATCCTTCTCTGCTCCCTGTCGAATCGCACTACACACGTTGACGCCTCAGCTGGTTCAGCGTGCCTACGCACCACGAGGTTCCTCCTACTGCATACGCACCAGGACGTCCCTGGATGGATCGTCGACGTTCTTCATTCCCTCGGGGTGCGCCTGCAGCATGAATGCACTGCTCTGCCGTTCTCATTTCCCGATACGATTGTTTCCCAAAAGTGCTTGCACTTACCGCAGGTTCACGTCCTGCTGACCGGCGGCGACCCTGCCACTGGCATTCAACATTGAACGCCGCCGGCGACCCAGACTCGGTCGATGTCGAGCGGTCGGACGTTTCCGAAGCGGCCGATCGCTCAAAAGATCCCCGTGGTGTCAGGAACCGCCGCCATGGTCGACACGACACGAACCTGAGGAGCTGGGCCTGCGGGCCGCCCTTGCCACCATATGGCTGCCTTCGCCGCCTCGTCGTCGCCCGTCGCCCGGGCCTGCGGACCGCTCTGGCCGCCGTCGTCGCCGCCTCGTCGCCGCCCGCCGCCTCGTCGCTGCCCGCCTCGCAACGCTTCGCATCGCTTCGCATTGCTTCGCGTTGTTTTGCATTGCTTTACCTTGCTTTGCATGGCTTTGCGCTGCCAGATTGCACTTACATTGCTTGCACCGCCTAGACTGCGCCACCCAGATTGAACCATATGTGTTCGCATTGCGCTACACTGGTTGTGCTACCGCGCCACCCAGACTGCAATGCACAGACTGCAAGAAGTCATTGTTTGGGGTCCACGCCGCCTAACATGTAGCTTTTAAATGCCCAGTGCGTGGATTCAGTATCGCTCGACCTCTTTGCATCTCCACTGGGAATGCCCATGTCCCGCTGTCCGACCTACCCCACAGCTTGGTATTGATGCCCTCTCCGTCGGGTCTCGCGGGGTCTATCGCCACGATATTGTTCGTTTTATCGCCCCCCCCGTAGCGCTTGTCACGGGGGGGTCCGCCCCTCCCCCCCCCCGTACCAGTAACGAAGCAGTGACGATCGTACGACAGGCGGTTGCGCGAAAACCCCTCCTCGTTTGTTTGTTTGCTTGTTTATTTGTTTGATTGTGTGTGTGCGTGCGTGTGTGCGTGCGTGTGTGTGTGTGTGTGTGTGTGTGTGTGTGTGCTTGCGTGGGGGCAGGCGGCAACGATAAGCTGGTGGAATACTTCAAGTCCAAGGGCATCGACAAGAAAACGAAGGCGGGGCCTCAGCCAAGATCGCCTCCCGCCTCCCAGTTCTGCCTGTTTCCCGTTGTGTAGGATGATGAGGAGGAGGAGATGGATAGGTCGGCGCAACAATATCTCGTTGATTCGCGGCGTTGAAGTCCCACGAAGGGTGTTCTTGCACGGTTTATTATTGACACGACGCAGCAGTCACGTTGATTCGCGGCGTTCAAGTCCCTGTAATGGTGTTTTGGCACGAGTGGGGATTCTCAGACGGTTGTCTTCCAATGGGCCAATTTGCGCAATGACAGTCAGTTCTTGTACATCTGTGAAGAGGGAATTTGGAGGGAGGGTTGATTGCAACATCGTTGATGCATCTTGGGTTCACATTGGTCCTCCTCCACAATCACACAATACGAGTACTACTCTCCTCTCTCCCCTGACTCTGTCCGGAAAGTGTCCCGTCCTCTCCGCGTGTTGTTTGGCACAGAATTCCATTATTTGTTTTGTCCCATTTTTTCGATATGGTCGTCTCTGGGTCTTCAAACGGTGCTCCCGCTGCAGCGCCGCCCTCATTTCCGCGCTCGGTTATTCAAAATCGTGCTCCCGCTGCAGCGCTGGTCTCGTTCCCGCGCCTCCAGTTGTTCCAAATCGTGTTCCCGCAGTCGCACTGGCGTGCTCGGTCCTTCCAAGAAGCGCTGTCGCTGTAGCGCTGGCCTCGTTCCAGTGCTGCGGTCCTTCCAAATCGTGCTTCCTCTGCAGCGGTGGCCTCATTCCCGTTTTCTGTCCTGGCCTCGCTTTCGCGCTCCAGCTCTTCTAAATCGTGTTCCCGCTGCAACGCCGGTCCATGTCTGACTGTGCAAATAGATCCGATATCTACGCCATGGTAAGGTATGGGAGGGAGGGGTCGGACGTCAGATGTCACGCTAGTGCACCTACCTTGTCCCCTCCCCCCTACCCTACCTCTTTCCTCTTTCCTCTTCCACCTCCCTCCGCCCTCCTCCCCCCTCCAGGCCCCTTCGTACCTCCTCCTCCTACTCCTCCTCCCTGTCCTTCTTTTCCTCCTTCCTCGTCGTCATCCTCCTCATGGTCCCCTCTCTTCCACCCTATCCTCCTCTTCACTCCTTCTTCTCCTAAAAACTCTTCCTGCTCCTACCGCTCCCTCTTTTCCTCCCTTCCTCCGCCCACTCCTCCTCTTCCTGCCCATCCTCTTCTCTTTCTCCCTCCTCCTCACCTTCCTGTCCCTCTTTTCCTCCTCCTCCTCCTCCTCCTCCTCCTCCTCCTCCCATCGAGAGGTCTCCTGAGATCCCCGGAGTCTTTCGGAGGCCCATATAGGGCAACCAGCGCATATGTTTGATCCTCGATTCTCGAACCTCGAGGAGGAGGAGGAGGAGGAGGTGGAGGAGGAGGAGGAGGAGGAGGAGGAGGAGGGCGGAGCAGGCGGAGGAGGAGGAGGAGGAGGAGGAGGAGGAGGAGGAGGAGGAGGAGGAGGAGGAGGAGGAGGAGGAGGAGGAGGAGGAGGAGGAGGAGGAGAAGGAGGAGGAGGAGCGTTCGAGTGCCCCCTGCCTGTTCCGCCACACCTGCGGTGCCTCTAGGGCTACCCGGGCCAGTCGCTTGGCAGAATCGTTGGCCGATAGAAGTCATTCGCAGCAGCTTGGCCAGCGGTTCGCAGGGAAATGTTCCCGGCCAAGGGGCCAGAGGACCACGCGGCCCTGGCCATGATTGGCCGCGCGCACGGAGCTTGACGGCACGTACGTGGCTGGAGCCGCTTCCGCCCTGGCGGCTTCGGCGTCGGCGCTGGGGGAGGGTGGTGTGCAGGGTGAGCATGGGAGAGTCCCTGCGCGCGCCCCGCCTGCGCCCGACACACCTGATGGGCCTGTTTTCCACCGCCACCACCATAAGTTGGAAGAGGAGGGGGTCCTCCTCTTCCTCCTCCACCTTCTCCTCCTCTTCCTCCTCCTCCTTCTCCTCTTCGTCGTCCTCCTCCTCCTCCTCCTCCTCCTCCTCCTCCATCTCCTTCCCCCCCTCCAACTTATGATGGTGGTGGTGGAAAACAGACCCAGCAGCACCCGCCGGTGGGCGGCATTGCCAGGACTGTCAAGGGCAGGTTAGGGTGGACCAGAGTGGGGTGTTTCAGAGTCGTAGCCTCCCCTGCGTCCTGTTGCTGCTCTGGCCTCGGAGGCCCATCCTCCACACTTGCCCGTCTCCGCTCGTTGACTGGTTCCGGGCTGCGGCACAGAACGTGCCAAAAACGGCGACGACGGCGACGACCCCCGCCTGCCCCCGCAAGTTTCCCAGACCCGCGACGTGACGTCGTGCTTTTCTGAGATCGTGGACTCCCAGCACCGGCTTCTCATCCTGATGCGTTGTTGGACACATCCCAGCGCCCAGCGAGGCCCCCAGAGGCCGAGAACGGCCCACGCTGCCCGTCGCGCGCTTGTCCGCGCCGCGCGGGGGCTTTTGGGGCCCGCGCCACCCCAGATAGAAGACAAGTACAAGAGCGTGCAGGCGGACTGGTACAAGGCCCGCCTGGCGAGGCTGGTCGAGGGCCAGGTCCACGACGTGCCGGAGCCAGGAGGGGAAGCTGCCCCGCCTCGCCGTCGCCGCCACCGTCCTCGCTTCGTCGTTGTCGTCGTCGTCGTCGTCGTCGTCGTCGTCGTCGTCCTCGACGTCTTCGTCGTCATCGTCGTCGTCGCCGCCGCTGATTCGTCGTCGTCATCGCCGCCGTCGTCGTCGTGCGGAGGAGGACACGGTAGCGATACCGCTGCCCCCTCCTTCGTCGCGAGGGCTGGACTCGCTCCGAAGCCCTGGCCAGAACGCGAGAGCGCGCCCCTGGAGAGGCATCTTTCCCTGGCTGCGCGTCGCTGTGGGTGCTCTCATCGCGTGGAAAAAAGGGGCCTCCGGAGAGTCCCCCCACGGCCAGCGCACTTCTGCGCCCTTCTCCTGGGAGCCGCCGTCGCGAGGGCCCGGACCACGGCCAGCACGGCCACGAGCAGCCCCACGCTTGCCCGAACGTACAGTCGGGGCCCTGAAGAAGGAACCCTTTTCGTTGGGGAGGGGCTCCGTGTTCCTTGATTGCTTCACAGTTTGCTTTGGGTTTCGCTTTGGTTCTCGATGGGAAATCGAAGTCCAACTTGTGGATCTAAGGGGCCTCGTTCCTTATTTAGGGTTCCTTGGGTCAACGCTCCGACTGTAAGACACGAGCAAGCCAGAACTCGGGCTTGCCGACCCTTTGCTGACGAGGCGCGTCTTGGATTTTGACGGTCCAGTTTTCGTGGGATGCCTGCAGCGGGAGCTCGCGTTGCACTTCAGGCTGGGCGATCGTCATTTTCATGATGGCCCGTCGGGCCAACCCGAGTCCCCCGAACCCGGGGCTTGCGCCTCCCCGAGAGGAGCAGACACGGGCATGGGCATAGGGTTTGGAAGCTCCGCGCCGATATCTCGGATCCATTCTGGGCCACCCTCCCCTGGCGCGTGGGGCGCGCCGCCCCGGGGGGCCCAGCGCCGATGAAAGGATTCCGCGAGGAACCCCGAACGTTTACAGTCGACCCGCGTAGCATGGATGGGCAACCTTCCCAAGGGTACCCTTGCATCCCTGCCTCCTCGGTCCACCCTTGGCCACTCTCGTGGGCCGCGCCCCACTCGAGAAGCTTCGGAGTGGGCGTCCAAGGCCCTTGCATCCTTATCGCGCATCCTTGTGATGCGGGCCGACTGCATGTCCGTGCCATTTTTTTCCTGCCTCGACTCGCGCCCATCGCGAGGCCCTCGCTCCTCGCCGCCCACGCTGCGTTGGCGCTACCCAGACATGCTGATAATACACACACATATACATATAACGGGGGACCGGGTCCGGGGGCCCGGGGCCGGGACCTCGACCGCAAATGTGGGCTCCGGGGGGCCCGGAGGCTCGTCGGGGCTTGTCGGAGGCCTCCCCGGTCAGACAAGAGGGCCCCAGAAGCGCCCAAGACGGCCCAAGAAACTTCCAAGAGGCCTCCAAGAGGGCTCCGAGATGCTGAAGATGGCCTCCAGACGTCCAAGGACGCCCCCAAGAGGCCCCAAGAAGCCTCCAACATGCGTCCCAAGAGGGCCCCTAGACGCAAAAATTGCCCATTCCCTTCGTAAAACGTACATTTTCAACAAAGTTGCCTTTTGGGCTTTCCGACGTTACAGGACGGCCCAAGAGGCGCCCAAGACCGCCCCAAGACGGCCCAAGAAGCTTCCAAGAGGGCCCCAGGACAGCCCAAGAGGGCCCCAAGACGGCCCAAGAGGCGCCCAAGATGGCCCAAGAGGGCCCCAAGACGGGCCCAAGAGGGGGCCCAGAGGGGGACCACGAACCGCAAGCTCGAGCCTTCCGCCCCAAGAGGCCGCCAGGAGGCCCCAAGGAGGCCCCTCAAGAGGCCCCAGGAGACCCCCAAGAGGCCCAAAGGAGGCCCCGAGAAGCCCCAAATCGGCCCCCCAAATGCTTCGAACCTGCTTCCAGGAGGCCCCCGACAGGTTCAGAGGCTCCCAAGAAGCTACGTCAAACTCCCAGCGAGCGGCCGGACGAGGCCCCCCAAAAAATCCCAAGAGGGTTCCAGTATTTGTATCCTTCAGCGCTCTCTGGCCTTCTTTCCCCTGCCCCCTTCCCTGCGACTTTCGTTGACTCAAGCTCGCCTCCTCTCCATTTCCTCTCTCTGCCTCTCTATCTCTCTCTCTCTCTCTGTCTTCTTCTCTCTCTCTCTCTCTCTCCATCTCTCTCTCTCTCTCTTTTTTTTGTTCTCTCTTTTTTTTTTTCTCTCTCTCTCTCTCTCTCTCCTTCGCTCTCTGTCTGTCTGTCTCTCTCTCTCTCCCTCTCTTTCTCTCTCTTCCTATTTCTTCCTTTCATATTCCGTGTCCTTGCGACCTTCTGCAGTCCCCGACGTCGCCACGGCTGGATTCGCTCGAGCGTGTCTTGTGATGTGCGGCGGTGCGAAGCCCGTCCCACTGATCAAGGCACAGGTACGAAATGATGGGTCCATCATTTCTTGCCTTCCCATGTGCGTTTTCCCAATCGATTCCTGGGCCCGAGGTCGCAAAAATTACGACGTCGGAGGTCTGGGGAGGCGGGAAGCACGACCTGGACCTCCGACGTCTTGGAAAAAACACGACGGCGGTTTCGGTCAATTTTCGGCCTCCGGGGCCCCTCGCAGGGTCCCGGGACCGTCAGAAAACGACTCAGGATGACAAAAAAACACATCCCCAGGAAGTCGTCGAGAGGTCCAGGGGCCGCGCACAGAAAGCATCACGACGTCGGACGTCCAGAGAGGAGGTAGTGTGTGTGTGTGTGTGTGTGTGCGCGCCGCTCCCGGAGCGGCGACGCGCGCACCGAGGAAAACTTCTGGTATGTGCTCCGGGTCGGCCTGTAGGTGCTGTGTGGGTTCTGTCCTCCTCCGCGGCGGACGGTGCATGGGGCGGGGGCGCTCGGCTTCACTTCAAGCCGTCGGCTGCGGCGGGCCGTGAGGCCTTATCCCGCAGCTGCACATGCCCGAGGTTCACCGAGCGCGCTCCGTCACTCGCAAAGTGCCTACTCGCAAACGTCAGAAAAATAGCATGTCCTCCTCCACGTAAAGGATCGTAGATCCCACTCGGCGGATCCAGGCCATTTGCGAGGAGCTACTTTGCGAGTCGTGAAACGCGCTTGCCCAGAGGTAGACTGCCTTGCCGTCGCCGTTCGCAGAGGACGCGGCTATTGCTGGCCTCTTCCCCGTTCCCCCGGCCCTCGAGGCCCTCTCTCCCCTTGGGCCCAGGAGAGGACAGGCGCGCACCCAGGATGAAGGGCTGGTCCTGGGGGAAGGCCCCAGGGCCCGGGACTCCGTTCCCCTCAGGGCCCCTCTCCTTCATTCGAAGCAGGAGGAGGAGGAGGAGGAGGAGGAGGAGGAGGAGGAGGAAGAGGAGGAGGAGGAGGAGGAGGAGGAGGAGGAGGAGGAGGAGGAGAGGTAGATGGCGGGGTAGGAGATGGCGGGGTAGGAGGAGGAGGGGGAGGGGTAGGAGGAGGAGGAGGAGGCCATAAACAGAAACTTTGGGCTCTCCGCGCGTATCTCTTGGATCCGCGCTGGGCCCCCCCAGCGGCGCCCCTTGCGCCGCCCCTGGCGCGCTCCGGGCGCCGGGGAGGGAGGCCCGCAGATCCAAGAAATCCGCGCCGACCGGCGAAAGTTTATGCTTGCGCCGCTTTTTGCTCTTCTAAGGCTGCCGTGCCGTCGTCGATCGTAGAGGCCGCGGCCAGCTGGTCTCTGCCCCGGTCTTCTGGCCCTCGGGGCCCTGCCTCGGGGCCCCTAGGACGCTCAGGCGGTCACCCAGGACGAAGAGCTGGTCCCAGGGGAAGGCCCCAGGGCCCAGGACCCGATGGGCGAATCTTCCACCACCGCTACCATAGATAGGACGAGGGAGGAGGGAGGATGGGGAGGTCCTCCTCCTCCTCCTCCTCCTCCTTCTCCTCCTCCTCCTCCTCCTCCTCCCTGGTGGTGGAAAATCGGCCCATCAGGAGTCGGTTTCCCTCAGGGCCCCTTCCCTTCACCTTCATGCTAAGGAGGTCGGCACGGCTTGGGGACTCGGGTCGTTCTCCGAGGACGCCTCGGGTCCTTGGGGCCTCCCAGACCCCCGACGTAATGATTTTTTCGTAACGTCGACCCCCCAGAAGTCTCGACCCGTTCCCCAGGACCGTCGTTATTTTTTCATGACCCGAGGAGGTCTGGGCTCCTGGGCCCCCCCCCGAAAATGGGCGGCGACGGACCGTGCGGTGAGGTCTTTGGGGTGCCGAGGTCACCGCACGGTCTGTCACCGCACCGCTCCGGGTGCCCCCCCAGGGGAGGCCGCCGCGCGGGCGGCGCAGCGGTCTCGCGCTCCTTTGGCTCCTCCCTGGGGCCCCTCCCGGGGGCCTTTCGGGTTCAGTCGGGCATGTCCCTGCACAGGAGGAGTGTTCCAACATAGTCGATACATAGCCTGGGAGCGATTTAGAATACTTTTGAAATACAGCTTTTCTTCCAGAATCCAGCTGTGGGAGTACAGGCCCGACATAGTTCTTGGGTCTAAATTGGCCCAGTCTTGGCGGTTTCTTTTGAGGAAACGTAAGGCTCGAGTTCGCCAGAGTTGGGGTTTCCAGCGCTTTTGACGGGCCCGTCTCTGAGTGTGTATCGTCCAGTTTTCGTGGGATGTTTGCAGCAGAAGCTCGCGTCAGTTTTCAGGCTTGGTCTATTAATCTTCTCCCCGTAAGGTCAACCTGAGTCCCCCGAACCCGAGTCTGACGTCTCCCCGATATTCAGCCGTCCTGGACGCTCTGGCGACCGATGCGGCGAGACAGTTTCAACCTCACAATGCTTCAAGGATTTAGCATATTTGGGCTTCTTCGGCCAGCCCAAGGGGTCTCCAGGACGCCTCGAGAGACCCCCAGGGGTGCCGAAGTTGGTCCAGCGTGGTTCTGACCAGTTTAGGGGGTGCCACATCTAGCCAAACTGGCCCCGAGGTCGCCCGAGCCACTCCAGGGAGGGGGGATGGGGGGGCCACTCCCTCGGGACTCCCCCCCTAGGGAGGAGGAGGAGGAGGAGGAGGAGGCGGAGGAGTAGGAGGAGGAGGAACATGAATATAGTAATAATACCAACAAAAATAATAAGAATGATCAGCATACGAATAATAATATTCATAAGAGGAGGAGGAGGCGGAGACGGAAGAGGAGGATGAGAAAGAGGAGGAGGGGGATGATGATGATGCTGCTGCTGATGGTGATGATGATGATGATGGTGATGATGATAATGCTTTTGAAGATGATGATGATGATGATGCTGATGCTGATGATGATGATGATGATGATGATGATGATGATGATGATGATGGTGATGATCATGGTGGTGGTCGTGGTGGTGGTGATGCTGATTCTGGTGATGCTGCTGCTGCTGCTGCTGATGATGATGATGATGATGATGATGATGATGTTGATGGTGCTGATGCTGATGCTGCTGCTGATGATGATGCTGATGATGATGAGGCTGATGATGACGATGCGGATGATGAGGATGATGAGAAGGACTATGATGATCATGATGACGAGGAGGAGGAGGAGGAGGAGGAGGAGGAGGAGGAGGAGGGCGGTGCAGGAGAAGGAAGGAGGAGGAAGAGGAGGAGGAGGAAGAGGAGGAGGAGGAGGAGGAGGAGGAGGAGGAGGAGGAGGAGGAGTAGGACGAGGAGGAGGAGGAGGAGGATGCGGAGGAGCAGGAGAAGGAAGAATAATACTACTACTAATACTGATCATACGAATAACAATAAGAGGAGGAGGAGGCGGAGGCGGAAAGGGAGGAGAAGGAGGAGGAGGAGGGGGATGATGATGTTGATGATTATGATGATGAGGATGAAGTTGAGGATAAGGACGATGAAGCTGATGAGTATGATGATGATGATGGTCATGATGCTGGTGGTGGTGATGCTGATTATGATGATGCTGATGACGATGATGATGATGATGATGCTGTTGCTGATGATGATGATGCTGATGCTGATGCTGTTCATGATGATGATGCCTATTTGCTGATGCTGATGATAATGATGATGCTGCTGCTGCTGATGATTATGGCGGTGACGATGATAATGCTGATTATGATGATGCTGCTGATGATGATGATGATGCTGATTGTGATTATGATGATGATGACGATGGTGGTGATGATGCTGCTGATGATGATGCTGCTGCTCATGATGCTGATGTTGATGATGATGATGCTGCTGCTGATGATGATGATGATGCTAATGCTGCTGATGATGATGATGATGATGATGATGATGATGATGATGATGATGGTGGTGATGATGATGATGATGATTATGATGATGATGATGATGATGATGATGATGATGATGATGATGATGATGATGATGCTGATTATATGATGATGATGATGATGATGATGATGATGATGATGATGATGATGATGATGATGATGATGAGGACGACGACGACGACGACGATGATGATGATGATAATGATGCTGCTGCTGCTGATGCTGCTGCTGCTGCTGCTGCTGATGATGATGATGATGATGATGATGATGATGATGATGATGATGATGATGACGATGATGATGATGATGATGAATGAGGAGGAGGAGGGGAGGAGGAGGGAGGAGGAGAGAGGAGGAGGAGGAGGAGGAGAGGAGGAGCCGAGCAGGAGGAGGAGGAGAGGAGGAGGAGGAGGAGGAGGAGAGGAGGAGGAGGAGAGGAGGAGGGAGGAGGGAGGAGGAGGAGCAGGAGCAGGAGGAGAGGAGGAGGAGGCGCAGGAGGAGGAGGAGGAGGAGGAGGAGGAGGAGGAGGAGGAGGAGGAGGAGGAGGGGGAGGAGGAGGTGGATCAAAGGCAAGGGTCTTCCATTGACTCGACGACTCGAGTGCGACCTGGGCCGCTTCGCCTCGCGCTCTGGCGGCCTGCGGCCTGGCCTGTGCTCGCTGGGCGGGAGCTTCGAGTGGAGCAGCGCTCCCCGGGGTCCACCCGCGGCCCTCCCCTCGAGGGAAGAAACGCGGTGACTATGACCAATATGAAAAGGAGGAAGAGGTACCCATACCTCTACCCTTCGCCCGTTTTCGCCCTTTTGGGCCTCCCGGGATGCCCTCGTCGCCACCGCCGGATTCGCCTCGAAATCCTTGTCAGAATGCGCCCCGGGAGAGGTCTGGGGAGTTGCGGTATCGGTACTTTTTGGTTTCCCCAAAGATGTCGCGGGATTTTGCTGGCGCCAATCTCGGTCATGGGCCCTGCCGGCCGTCGCCGATCCGCGAGGATGATCCACGAATTGGCGCTGGCCAAGATGGACGGGGACCAATATCCGCACGACGTTTCCGCGCTCAGTCTTGGTCGTGGCCCCCGTTTTCTCGCCCTCCGTCCCCTCACGCGCGCAGACAAGCCCCCGGAGGGCCTCCGCGTGCCTCCGTGGGCTTCTCGGGAGGCCTCCAGGGGGCCTCGGGGACGGCCTGCAGGCCCCTCGTCTTCCTGTTCAGCTCCTCTCGCCCTCTCCCTCTCCTCCCCCTCGCCTCTAGCCCTCGAGCCTCTCTCGCCCCAGGCCTCCCGGCCTCCCAGATGGGGTCGGAGTAGTTGGGGTCGGAGGATCGCGCAGCATCGCCGATGCATCGGCGATGCGGTTCGATGCGGAACCCATGTTTCTCCACGCCGACGTCGCCGATGCATCGCCAACGTCGCCGATGCATCGCCGATGCATCACCGATACATCGGCGATGCGTTGGCGATGCGGCGCGATCCTCCGACCCCATCTACTCGGACCCCATCCAGGAGGCCTCTATCTCGCCCACCCCTCTCCTCCCCCTGTCCTCCCCCTTCCCTCCCTTCTGGGAGGTAAGCACACCGCGGGCGCTTCCTTCGTCGCCGCCCAAGATGTCATGGACGGCAAGGCTCCTGGGCGGGGGGGTCAAGCGGGAGCACTTGCCTTGAGATCCTGACCTCACAGTTTTTCGCAGCTGGCGATTTTGCTTTGTTTCGGTCCCCAGGACCCTCACATATCAATTCGGCTGGCAGGATGCCGCAGAAAGGTAGGGTCTAGGGCTCCGGTCGCGACTTTTTCCAAACCATTCTGTGGTGTTGGTTCCTCGTTTTGATGAGGCAGCGCCCCGCGTTCCTACCTCCTCCTCTCTTCCTCCTCCTCCACCTCCTCCCCTTCCTCCCTCTCCTCCTCCTCCTCCTCTTCCTCCTCCTCCTCCTCCTCCTCCTCCTCCTTCTCCTCCTCCTCCCCCTCCTCCCATTCCTGCCTCTGCCCTCCGTATGTCAACCATTTCGGTATCCCCTTCACGGGGTTCGTGTCCCCATAGGGAGATCTACCGAAGGGCCCAGCGGCAGGGTCCGCAGGCGCCCAACGCCCATTTTCGCACACCCTTCACGGTTCGTGGCCCCATAGGGAGTTCCACCGAAGGTCACAGTGGCAGGGTCCGCATGCACCCGACACCCATTTCGGCAACCCCCTCACACGGTTCGTGGCTCCATTGGGAGCTCCGCCGAAGGCCCCAGTGGCAGGGTCCGCATGCGCCCGACGCCCATTTCGGCACACCCCTCACACGGTTCGTGGCCCCATAGGGAGCTCCACCGAAGGGCCCCAGTGGCAGGGTCCCCAGGCGCCCGACGCCCATTTCGGCACACCCCTCACACGGTTCGTGGCCCCATTGGGAGCTCCACCAAAGGGCCCCGGTGGCAGGGTCCGCGTGCGCCCGACGCCCATGTTGGCACACCCCTCACACGGTGCGTGGCCCCATTGGGAGCTCCACCGAAGGCCCCAGTGGCAGGGTCCGCATGCGCCCGACGCCCATTTCGACACACCCCTCACACGGTTTGTGGCCCCACAGGGAGCTCCACCGAAAGCGGTACCCGCAACGCGGTATTCACGACCGCGTATGGCTGGGCCTTTCGCCAGGATCATTTCTGCTGTTTGTGTGTGTGTGTGTGTGTCTTTGTGTGTGTGTGTGTGTGTCTTGTTCGCGCCATCGGATCTCAGGGTTGTGTGAATCTGTCCTCCACCATCTCTCCCAGTCGTGCCGCGATTCGGACTCTGGCCTCCACCTGGGCCACGAGTGCTGCGGCATTCCGGCGCGGGTGCGCTGCGTCGCGCGAGCTTGTGGCGGCCGACGGGCCGCGCCTGCGAGGGTGAGGCAGCCGGCTTCCCACCCGCCCGCATTGCTTGCGGCGCACAATGTTCGCGTCGTGCCGCTGCGGCGGCGACCCCAGCGGGGGCGTTCCAGGATGAGAGCGTCGCCAGTGGCCCGGCATCGGCAGGCATCTCGAGCGAGTTGGGCGATGGGGCAGCCGCGAGCGCTCAGGGCGGAGCGGTCCACGCGGAGTCAGAGACCAGCGCCCAGGTCCTCGCGTTGCGAGCCTGCCGAACCCGAGCTCATCGTAGCCATGCCTGGCCTCAAGCTGGGCCCCCCAAAGGGGGCCGACGCGTTTGGCGTCGGGGAGAACTCGCGACCTCGGAGTTTGGGCGCTTCTTTTTCTCGAGCATCCTGGCGGTGCTGGCATCTCGTTTTGACCAGACGGCGCCCCGCGTCCTCCTTCCTTCTCCACCCTCTCCCCCCCTCCCCATCCCCGCATCTGCCCTCCGCCGCGCGCACATGTCGGCACATCCCTCACACGCTTCGTGGCCCCACCCCATAGGGAGTTCCACCGAAGGCAACTTGACGTGGTGTCTTATAGCGTCCACCCCATTTTGGCACATCCCTCACACGCTTCGTGGCCCCATAGAGGGCGTTCCACCGAAGCCGCCAGGTGGTGGTGCCTTAAAGTGTCCCCCCGCCCATCTCGGCACACCCCTCACACGTTTCGTGGCCCCACTGGAAGCTCCAGCGAAGATCCCAGCGGATGGTGCAGTATAGCGTTCGCCCGCCCATTTCAGCACATCCCTCACACGCTTCGTGGTCCCATAGGGTGTGTTCCACCGAAGCCGCCAGGGGGTGGTGCCTTACAGCGTCCCCCGCCCATCTCGGCACACCCCTCACACGCTTCGTGGCCCCACTGGAAGCTCCAGCGAAGACCCCGGGGGTGGTGAAAAGGCGCCCCATCGCCAATTTCGGCACATCCCTTACACGGTTCGTGGCCCGGAGTTCCACCGACGTCGCCAGGGGGTGCCTTACAGCGTCACCTCGCCCATCTGGGCACACCCCTCAACCGTATCGTGCCCGCACGCCTGAAGCCGCCCTCGCCCTTCCCGTCGACGCCGTCCTCGGACTCCTTCCCCGTCTTGGGCTCGCTGTCGCCCTCGCGCTGCTCGACGCTCCTGCCGGGCTCGCCGTTGGTGCCGTCCACCTGCTGCTCCTCCGTCTGCTTGTCCTGGGTGCAGTCCGCGTCCTCTCCCTCCGCATGCGCGCCGAGGGCCACGGCGAGTACCCGCTGGCCCATCTCGACGCCTCCAGCCGCCCAGCCCGCGACGCCCTGCGCGGTCCGCGCCAGTCCTTCGGGCGCGGGCTGGCACTCCCGGAGGTGCAGGGCGACCCCCGCGAATCGGGGCCTCTCGCGGAGCCGCCGCCACCCGGGCGCCATGCCCCGCCGCCCGGGAGCTCGGTGTGCCCTCCCACGCTGCACCGCCACGCCGTGCCGCCGCCCGGCCCTCCACCGCGAGCAGCGCGACCGCCTTTGCCCCCCCCCCCCCCCTCCCCCCGCAGCCCGGCTCTATCGTGCGCGGCCCGCCAGCGCTGGTCCAGGCCGAGCGAGCCTTGGCCCTCGTGCCCGAACTGACACGACGACGACGACGAGGACGACGACGACGACGATGAGGACGACGAGGACGACGAGGACGACGAGGACGAGGAGGAGGAGGAGGAGGAGGAGGAGGAGGAGGAGGAAGAGGAGGAGGAGGAGGAGGAGGCGGAGGAGGAGGAGGAGGAGGAGGAGGAGGAGGAGGAGGCGGAGGAGGAGGAGGAGGAGGAGGAGGAGGAGGATGAAGAGGCGGAGGCGGCGACGACGGCGGCGACGTGTGCCGGCGGCGACGACGGCGGCGGCGACAGGCCTCCTCCCGCCGCGAGGCCGCGCGCAGCACCTCGTGCTCCACGGCCGCCTCGTCCACCGCGCACGGGCGGCAGGGCAGCCCGGAGAGCAGCCCGCCGAAGCTCAAGCAGCCCAAGGCCGCCCGCCGTCGCCAAGCAGAGCGCCCCTTGGCCTCCTTGGCCTCCCCGACCGCCTCCTTCTCCCTCGCCTCCTCCCTTTCTCCCTCCTGCTCCCGCTCCCTTCCTCCTCCTCCTCCTCCTCCTCCTCCTCCTCCTTCTCCTCCTCCTCCTCCTCCTCCTCCTCCTCCCCCTCCTCCTCCTCCTCCTCCTCCACCTCCTCCTCTCCCTACTCCTCTTCCTCCTGCTCCTCCTCCTCCTCCTCCTCCTCCTTCTCGGCGTCCTCCTCACACCGTCTGACCTCGCTTGTTGTCGGTTGCCGGAGAGGCTGGTGCGAGGAGAGAGCCATGTGGTGGCTCAAAGAACTGCCTCTGGAAACACTCCTCCGCCTCCTCCTCCTCCTCCTCCTCCTCCTCCCGTCCTCCTCGGCCTCCTCCTCGGCCTCCTCCTCGGCCTCCTCCTCAGCCTCTCCGCCCTCTCCTCTCCTGGAGCGAGCATGAGCATCAACTTTCGGGTGTCTGCGCGGAGTTCTCCTCGGCCGGCGCCCGGCCCCCGGGCGGCGGCGCCCCCTTAAGCGCGCTCCGCGCGCCATGGCCGGGGAGGGGGGCGCAGCGCCTGCCCGTCGAAGCCCGCACGGTTCTCCAGACGTTTGTGTTCGGCGCTTCCGAGAGGGGGCTCTGAGGGTCAAGCAGTGACGAAGCGTCCTGGCCCGCCTACAGCCCTGCCGAACAATGTTCCAAGAACTTTTTGAGGTTCCAACGACATGTTCTTAGAGCATTTCTGGCGGAATCTGTCTTGTTTTATCACGTCGGGTTCATGTTCTAAGAACATGGCTTTTGATCTTAGAGCATTTTTGGGTTCTAAGAACATTTCGTGGTAGGACTATAGGAATGTCGGGACGGACGGTCCCTGCTCAAGAGAGACGGGGTCCTCCGGACGACGTGCCCGAAACAATGCAAAGCCACTCGTGCTCGTTTTCTTGTTCGTCCCCCCCTTCCCCCCCGATGGAGTACACCCTGGCTGCTTTTGGCGCCTGCTTCGAGCAGGTGGAGCCTCCCCTGTAGGACGCCCCGTTGCAAACGGTCGCATTCAGCCAGCCCGGGCAGCAGCGACCCCCGACCCCGGCGCCCCCCCGACGCCGTGATCTCCCCATGTATCCGCCGATCTGACGGGTAAACCTTTACGGCCGGCGCCGCCGACCCTGGCGGAGGACGACGACGACGACGCCGACGACGACGACGCCGACGACGACGACGACGTCGACGACGACGACGACGTGTGGCGGCGGCGGCGGCGACGACAACGACGACGACGTGTGGCGGCGGCGGCGGCGACGACGAGGGGTAAGAAAGGGGAGGGAGTCGACTTGACTGCGACGCTTCGTTTCCTTGTTGCTCGATGTCTTTAGGACTGGCGACGACGGCGGCTGCGACGGCGACGATGACGACGACGATGACGTCGAGGAGGGCAAAGCCTCTCGCACACGCCGAAGGGTCGGCGGACTTTTCCCATGCGCGGCCCCAGGGGTCCGACCCCTTCCCCATGGGGAGTTCTCACGGGGGAAGTGATACCGAGACCGCTGCTCGTCCTGGAGAGCCCGCGTCGCCGCGGCCGAATCCTCCTCGAAACTCAGGGTCAGAGCGCACCCCAGGGCGGAGAGTAGCGGCATGGGTACCTTCTTGTCCCCCGGAAATTCTCTGGGATCATTCTGAAGGCCACTAGGCCTAATAACGGCCCCTGTGGCGGCCTAACTCAAGGAACACCGGGACTCGTGTCGTCGGGACTTTGGGCCGTGGAACTGGTGGGGCCTTGAAACGACAGAGCCGTTTGTTTTTGTTGGTTCCCTTTCGCTGCCGGTTCCGTTGCCGTTTTTTTCTTGGGTCCGTCGCATATGTTTTCCTGGTTCCGGTTCCAGTTCCAGTCCCGGAGCAGTTTTAAACATATTATCGAAGACGCCCACGGCGAATCACCGCCGCCCTTTGCCTTCTAGAATCGCCCATGTGGCCGAGCGTTGTGGCAAGAGCCCTGCCAAACTATCGGGCCATGTGTTCCCCAACAGTTGTGGAAACCCTTCGGGGAACACTTGGGGGAGGATGGCGGGGAAGATCAGGAGGAGGCGGAGGAGGAGGCAGAGGAGGAGGTGGAGGAAGAAGAGGAGGAGGAGGAGGAGGAGGAGGAGGAGGAGGAGGAGGCCGAGGAGGAGGAGGTGGAGAGGAGGAGGAGGAGGAGGAGGAGGAGGAGGAGAGGGCATCTTGGGAGCCTCTGGGGACACTTTTGGGGCCTCCTGGGAGCTTCCTGGGAGCCTTTGGCGACACCTTGGGGGCCGCCTTGGGCCTCTTGGGGGCCTTTGGGGGCTTCTCGGGGGCCTCTTTGGCTGTCTTTGTGGGCTCCTGGCCCGTCTGACGCCGTCGGAAGCCGTCTTGGGGGCCCCTCTGGGCTGACTTGGAGCCTTCTTGGGGTGCTCCAGGGCCGTCTTGGAGGCCTCTCGGGCCGTCTTGGAGGTCTCTTGGACCCTCTTGGGGCCCTCCTGGGGCCGTCTTGGGGGCCTCTTGGGCCGTTCTGGGGCCATCTTGGAGGCCTCTTGGGCGATCTTGGCGCGATCTTTGGGTGCTCTTGAGCCGTCTAGGGCCGTCGGTAGGCCGACAAGAATCAAATGCCAAGATCCTTCAAAAACCGAGGGGATATTTGCCTCTTCGGGCCTTCCAGGAGGCCTTCTTGGAGGCCTTTTGGGCCGTCCTGGGCCATCTTAGAGCCATCTTCGGTCGTCTTGGTGGGCTCCTTCCTGGCCCGTCTGACGCCGTCGGAAGCCGTCTTGGGGGCTGGGGCCCTTTTGGAATGCTCCAGGGCCGTCTTGGATTTGGGCGTCTTAGAGGCCTCTTGGACCGTCTTGGGGCCCTCTTGGAGCCGTCTTGGGGGCCTCTTGGGCTGCTCTGGGGCCGTCTTGGAGGCCTCTTGGGCGATCTTGGCGCGATCTTTGGGTGCTCTTGGGCCGTCTCGGGCCGTCGGAAGGCCGAAAGAAGCAAATGCAAGCATCCTTCAAGCATCTAAGGCAAATCAATGATTTCGGGCCGTCTTGGGCCATCTTAGAGCCATCTGGTGCCGCCTTGGTGGGCTCCTGGCCCGTCTGACGCCGTCGGACGCCGTCCTGGGGGCCTCTCTGGGCCGTCTTGGGGCCCTCTTGGAGTTCTCCAGGGCCGTCTTGGAGGCTTCCTCGGGCGTCTGAGAGGCCTCTCGGGCCGTCTTGGGGCCCTCTTGGGGCCGTCTTGGGGGCCTCTTTGGCAGTTCTGAGGCCATCTTTGAGGCCTCTTGGGCGCTCTGGGGGCGATCTTGGGGACTCTCGGACCGTCTCGGGCCGTCGGAAGGCCTAAAAGGAGCAAATACGAAAATCCTTCAAACACCTGAGGAGCATCAATGACTTTAGCCTCGTCGTGCCCTCCTGGAGGACCTACCTTGGAGGCCTCTTGGGCACCTCTTGGGCCGTCTTGGAGGCTTCTTGGGCGGACTTGGAAGTATCTTGGACCCTCTTGGGCCGTCTTGGAGGCCATCTTGGCCATCTTGGAGGCATCCTGGAGGCCATCTTGGGCCATGTTGGCGGTCTTGAAAGCCACCTTGAGCCGTCTTGATTCTTTCCCCAACCCTCCTTGGTTGGGTATTCGTTTTGAATAGAGCACTGCGGCCGCGTCTTCTCCTCCTCCCGATCCCGCCTCCCGCCTCCTGCCTCTCGCCCCCCCTCTTTCTTGTCTCCTCTTGCCTTTTGCGTAATTGCCGCTTGTGTGTGTGTGTGTGCATGTTGCTTGCGGTACCTGTCTCCGACCTCGCCAACCTTGGGGGGCTGCGTTCTGCGAAGCTGTCGCCATTTTCGAGGGCTGCTGGGGGGGGCTGCATAGTGGGTAGCCGCCGCGGACCCAAAGTAGACCTCGCCTTCCCTGGGGGGCTGCGATTTGCGAAACTGTCGCCTCTCTCGAGGGCTGCTGGTGGGGGAGACTGCATAGTGGGCACCAGCCGCGGACCCAAATCAGACCTCGCCGTCCCTGGGGGACTGCGATTTGCGAAACTGTCGCCACTTTCGAGGGCTGCTGGGGTGGACAGCATAGTGGGTAGCCGCCGCGGACCCAAATTCGACCTCGCCATCCCTGGCGGGCTGCGATTTGCGAAACTGTCGCCATTTTCGAGGGCTGCTGGGGGGGGGGAGCATAGTGAGTAGCCGCCGGAGACCCAAATTAGACCTCGCCATCCCTGGGGGCTGCGATTTGCGAAACTGTCGCCACTTTCGAGGGCTACTTGGGGGTCCAGCTATAGTGGGTAGCCGCCGCAGATCCAAATTAGACCTCGTCATCCCTGGGGGGCTGCGATTTGCGAAACTGTTGCCGCTTTCGAGGGCTGCTTGGGGGGCCAGCATAGCGATCTGCGAAACTGTCTCCACTTTCGAGGGCTGCTGGTGGGCCCAGCGGAGTGAGGCACCGCACAGGTCTGAGCGAGACCTCGCCGTCCCCGGGGGCTGCGATCTGCGAACCCGTCGCCACTTTAAATGGCTGCTGGTGGGTCCAGCGGAATGAGGCACCGCGCAGATCTGAGCGGGACCTCGCCGTCCTTGGGGGGCTGCGATTTGCGAAACCGTCGCTACTTTCGTAGGCTGCTGGCGGGTCCAGCGGAGTGAGGCACCGCGCAGATCTGAGCGGGACATCGCAATCCCTGGGGTGCTGCGAGCCTCACGAATGCCGCTTGCAGAAGTATATGCGCCCATGTCACGTCATCACCTTTGTATAACGTCTCCCAAGCTACTCATGCTCCGCATTGCGCAGGGGTTGGGTACGTCGCTGGGGTAATTTTGTGAGAATTGGGCGCCTTGTGGGTCCTTTCGGGTGGCTGGCGTGACGGGCCGAAGCCCCAGGGAGAGTTCTTTTGGAAAAAGAGCCGAAACCAAGAGCGATAGGATTTAGCACGCCAGGCACCCCTTTGGCAAGCCAAAAGGGGCGGCGGATCTAATGGCAGTCGGTCTATCCTGCTACCGTACCTGGGTC